AAATCTTTGTTTGCACATTCTGGACTCAGGTTCTTCACCATCAGCTGTAGAGACAGGCCTTCATTTATTCATTTATGTTCTTCACTTCTAATGAGTCCTTCAGATGATAAATGATGGTAAGGGAAGATATTTGTGCTGCATTACTATATGAGAGGAACCATTTTGCAATGTAAGAATTTTAGTGCTTGTTTTAATATTTCATGAATAATAAACAATGGTCACTGCATCGTGCTGTAGCATGTAACCATGGTGGGTTCACTAAACTCTCCGACTTTTCTTTCATAGCAACAAAAAAACACCTTTTTAAGGTAAAACTTTCCATATCTTGAAACATTTCAACAGCATGAAGAGTTACAGGTGTTACATCTTTTTCTGGTCTTCCCTCAGAAAGCAGATGGACTTTATGACGACGTGGGCGGAGCTGTGACTGAGCAGGAGTATGAAAACGCAGAATCTCTGTTGTGAAATGCTGGCACGAGGAGCGTTGGCAGAGTCTTTACATGTAATGGAATAATTTAATTATTCAATCTGAAATTCTAATCAATTACTGAGAAAAAACAACAGTTAAATTACAATTGCCAATGAAAATGTTCAATTCAAATCATTTTTTTTAAAATAGAGCAACAATTCACAGCAGGAGTGGCTTAACATTCTGTATATTGTTAGCCAATGACCCTACATATGGTTTTCACAAAATGTCCAACTGTAAGCTGGCTAATGTGAAGCATAGAGTTTCTTTGCACTGTTTTGAAGCCACCAGGGGTCGATACCTGTGGTTGTTAAAAGACATTCTTTGGAAGTCTGTGGGGAAATGGTCCTTGGACTTATATACTGTTGGCACTTTTCTGATTAGTCTGTAGACTCAGCCATTCATTTCGAGTCATGCTGAATAAAACTTCATTTTTCTCCCAAATTACAGATTCTGATTCATGTTGATGGTAATATATTTTGAAAACTATTTTATATATGAAGACAGAAGTTTGCAGTCATTATATATGCTCAAATCTTGGACCATGAAGTTTTTTTAAAAATGGAAAATGGAGGTAGTTAAGCAAGAAATGTTCTAAAAATATGCTGTTTTGAGACGGAATGACGATCCAAAGTCCAAAGAGTGTCATGGACCTCTTCTTTAATATTTTTGTAAGTTTTCTCATACATTTTCACTTTAACTTTGGAGAACATTCACAGATTGTTTACAAAAGATTTCGGCATGCATGTTACTCATTGGTTAGTGACGCAGTATGTTATAAAAACCTGAGCTGAGCTTTTTCACCATCACCTTGGATTTTGAAAGTGGATATAGCGAATGAGGAATGGATATGACAATACTATCAAAGACATTACATATTTATTGCCTGTCAACTTGTACTCTAATAATAACCATAATTTACAAACTGAAATTTTATGTTTTATTCAAAATGACCTGAAACTGATGACTGAGCCCATAAAGTCATCAGGAATGTTTTTCTGATGAAGCATAGCATAACAGACTTCCATAATATCAATAGCCACTTTGCATTAATAATGTACACTTTAGTCCCAGAAGTGTCGTCTAACCTATACTTGTAACAACAGCCAGCTTCACGCATTACATAATAACTTTGCTAAAAACCTATGTAGGGTATCTACCTTATAATGTGAAGCAGCATAGTGAGAACACAGCTGCTGTACTATAATGTCATGTTAAAGTACATAACCGTCCCGGTCATGGTGTTTGTTTCCCCTCATTGTTTGACCGAATGTTCAATTCAATTCCATTTTATTTATATAGTTCCAAATCACAACAGCAATTGCTTCAAGGGGCTTCAATATGTTCATATGACGAGACACACACATCTTTTTTATGAAGAAATAAGTTTGCATTTATTGGACAAACCAAACATAAGCAAACTCACACAATAGTGTAAAGATGGACCATGTCATGGGGTGACAAATGAAGGGTTTCATTCCAAAATGCTGTACAACCATTAGGAGGAAAAAAAACCACACAGTATTTTAAAGAGCACATCATTCATTCAGAAATCTTATTACTTTAGTCACAACACCCCCCTAATGAAGCTTTGCTGTATTTATTTCATGGAGATGACATTATTCCCACATGCTGTACATTTCATTTTGGAACAAAGCTCTTCAAATATATCTTTTTATTTTTACACTTTTTACATTCTTTTCTTGCTGTACATTTTAAGTCTCATGCTTTGCTTGAAACTGTGCTGTCAGCATTTATCCTCAATCACATGACGAGAGACAATAAAAAGAAGAGCATACAGTATTCAGGATCAATGCTGCATAGTTTCAACTTTGGAATAACACAATTACCTTTTTGTAAACTGTGTGTATATGTGATGGAAAACCATATTAAAGCTGTCAAAAGAATACATGCGATGTATCTTGGAAGCTTCACTTCTTTGAAAATTTTCAGTATTGGGAGATGATGCATGTCATCACGAGTCCATCAAGAGCAGCTGAAATAAAGAAATAATGTGTGAAAGGTGGAGCAGTTCATACCATTGCAGAGTTTCTTAAGAAGCTCTGGCAGTAAACCACTGCATGATGGATAACAGGAAATGGATGACAAATATCAACAGATGTGACTCGAAAAAACAACAACAACTAAAACAAGCAAGCAAACAAAAAAACCTGCATGAGTTTTTAGGAAAGTCTGGGCACAAAACATTCAAAGAAAACGACAAAATGGAAGCAATAAATAAAGAAAAAGTCCTGGGAATGTTAACAAAACTCCACTGAGAGTGACACCAAAGCAAACGACCGAGTCACTGCAATCTTTTAAACAGAATTTAAAGATGATACAGATCCACCTATAACAAAAGGCTAGGACAACATTCTTAACCTGACCGAGCTAGCCAACAGTTTACAGTAAGAACACTTGAAATGGTTCACGAGGACAGCTGCACATCATTCCCTTGTAGTAAACCTCCGTTAAGGCAATCGGAAAACAGGAAGAGAATTTAGCACTGGAATCACACACAGCTTGCTTTTATGTGAAAAACCCCCCAAAAACAAACACTGTGAGGATCATGGACGCCTCAAAGCAGATTCATATGTAATTCAAATGTATTGAGATTTAACTCTGCGGAAACTTCGCCTTCCTGTTTGGTGGTGATGTCTTGATAACATTAGTCACTTGCAGATACTTTTCTGGATGTTTCCAGTTAGTGGGATGTTTCAAATCAGTATGCAGAAGTGGCAGTGAGGCTTCAGACTGCTTTAAATGCTCCATTTCAGACATTTTTTCTACTCTTTGTCCGATATCATGTCCAGAAAAATAGCCACAGCCCTGGCCCTGCTTGACCTTCTGTCCATATGAGATCAGTAAGGAGAAGATGTACTCGGTGTACAAGATTTACAAGTCTAAAGAGCCAATCAACAGTTGAAAAGAGAAACACTTTAGCCAATCATGTTGTTGCACTGACGCATGCACACAGTAGAGGTTCGTAACAGCTTCATTTGCTATGCTGTAGGCGTGAGTAGTAGCAGAGTCGCGGCTCTCTCCCCAGTCTCAAAGCGGTTTTTAAATAAGCCCCCAGATCCGATTCAAGATGGCTGCTGAGTTGAGAGATTTGCTTATTGAAGGAAGAACACAGATTAGAAGGTGTCTTGCTTTCAAAATAACCATCAACTTACTCCTGCTGTTCAGGGAGAAGGAGCTAAAGCTGCTGTTAAAGGAAGCTCCAGAAAACCGTTGCTGTTGTTCTTACTCTCACAGAAGAAAAATCTGGAAGCAAGACGGCACCAGAAACCTACCAAACAGATCCCACTGAGATGATCTTGCTTAATAATAATAATAATAATTTAATAATAACACAAGCACAAAGAGCCTAATGTTGAGTTAAACACAGAAGGCCATGAGAAAGAAAAATATCCAGTTTCAGATTCAGCCAACTTTGCAAGGATGATGAACTTTAGGAGTGTGAAAAACAGGAAGGCCTTCTTAAATCATCTAAATTCTCCTCCAGTGTTCATATTTAGACACAAGACTAAAATTACCATTAACCATTAAGCTCAAGAAACAAAGAGAATGGAACACAATGGATTCTTTAAGAAGTCAGTTCTCACTCTGAGCATGCTCTCAGTTATTACACCAACCACACCAACATTCAGACTAAATGGTTAAGCTTTATTTACAGCAGCTGGTTCGTGGAGTGGATGATGTCAAATAAAACCTTATTCCAACATATTTAAATGCGTCAGAGTACAAAGAGCTGAGCTGCGGCCACCTTGATCATCGTATTTCTATTACCACTCACTACAGTACGTGTGGGTGTCCCAGCCTGTTCTTAGTGGTTGGAACGGAAGTGACAGCACAGGCGCAGATGGGAAAAACAAACGTAACAAACGTAATATACAGGTCAAACATAGCAGAGTCCTGGCTTATTTTACCTGGGTGCTGTTAGCCTTGTATACAGTGTATGGCTTGGATATGCTGCTTTATGCACATACAAACCACCAACAACCCTGTGCCCTGGCACTCTTCTGCAGGAGCTCTTATAGCTCTTCATAATCGCCATCATCTCTTTTGATTGATGCTGCCCCACCGCCCAGAAAGTCCTCCAGCTCGTCCACTTCGGTTTTCTTGGTCCTGGATTTTTTTTTCTTTTTCTCCTTCTCATCGGGCACTGCAGCTTCATCCTTTTCCTTTTTCTTGTGTTTGTGTTTCTTCTTGCTCTTTTCATCCTCCTGTAAGTGACGGCACACAGTTTACTATAGGACACGCCGGCAGAACCTCAGAGGCTGTTTACGACATAAAAAGCTGAACTTTTCTATTTCTGTTCTGTTCACGTTCATAGCAAAACAACAGAATCCTTTTTAATAAAGGAAAAAAAACCCCTGCGGTTTGCAGACTTGCAGTTAAAAAGACTTAAATCAAGTTTGAAGTCTGAAGCGTCTGATCCCTCACTGGTGAGTGTGTTAGATAAGAATGTCCACTCATTATGTCTTTGAATTTTCATTCAAATCTTTCCAAATAATCATTTAACATTTTACATACACCTTTGTAGCAGCAATGTCTCCACACTATCCTCTTGCTCACCGACCGTCACCACAGCTCAGTACCAGGCATTCAATTTCTAATAGATATTATACACTCGATGGTCAATGAGAAAAACGGTTTTATTTCTCTTCTTTAGACACAAGTAAGTCCTTACAGTATGTAATATCAACAAAAAGTTTACCTCTTTGCTCTTCTTCTTCTTTTTCTTCTTTTCCTTGGAGGAGTGTTTGCTTTCTTTCTCTGAAAGAGGAGCACATGCATACAGCACTCTCACAAGTGGTGAACATCTGATGGAGTCATTTTAAATACGTTTTATGTTAAAGTTCAGTTTCTTAACAAAACCAGCAGAACAGACCATTTCAAAAAAGGACAATTGTTTTAACCACTTAATAACATGAAACAATTACATCCTTGCTTCTAAATTCAGATAAAATTGACGTTACTGTAATCAGCCCTAAAAATCTTAGAATATGGTGTCTAGACCAATACTCTGGATGGCATTACGCTGGTCTCAGTTAACACTGTGAGTAATGGAGTTGTTTTTGACCAAGATATTTCCTTCAATATACATATTAAATAAATACGTGAGGCTGCTGTCTTACTTTGTAAATTTAAAAAACCTGTTGTCACATAGTGACTCTGAAAAACTAGTTCATGCATTTATTACTTCTAGGCTGGATTATTGTAATTATTCATTATCAGGATGTCCTAAAAACTCCCTGAAAATCCTTTGGTTGATCCAAAATGCTGAAGCAAGAGTACTGACAGGAACTAGAAAGAGAGAGCATATTTCTCCCATACTGCCTTCTTTTGATTGGCTCCCTTAAATCCAGAATGAAATTTAAAATCCTTCTCATCATGTACAACGTCTTGCATAATTAGGCCACCCCATCAGAGCACTTTGCTCTCAGACAGCTGGGTTAGTTGTTGTTCCTAGAGTATTTAAAAGTAGAATTGGGAGGCAGAGCCCTCGGTTTTCAGGCCCCTCTTCTGTGGAACCAGCTTCCAGTTTGGATTTGAGAGACAGACACCATCTCTACTTTTAAGATTAGACTTAAAACTTTCCTTTTTGCTAAAGCATGTAGTTCGTGTTGGATCAGGTGACCCTGAATCCTCCCTTAGTTATACTGCAATAGGTGTAGGCTGCTGGGGGATTCCCATGATGCATTAAGTATTTCTTCTTCAGTTACCTTTCTCCCTCAGTATGTGCTTACACACCTCTCTGCATTTAACAATTAGTTAATATTAAACTCTGGGTCTCTTCCATAGTGCATCTTTTGTCTGACTGTTGGGGTTTTCTCTCTGTTATTGTGGGGTCTTTACATAACAATATCAAGCACCTTGAAGTCACTGTGCAATATCAATTGAATCTAAAGGGTTCTGTTGACCTAATCTCCCTGCTCATCAGCTAATCAAATGTGGAGTTACATCGACAAGTATTTCTGGACTTGCCTTCCTGATCCTCGCTGCTTTCCTTGGCTGCAGGAGGCTCTTCTTGGATCCCGAGACCAAACAGGTCAGTGTCGTCCTTGGGTTTGAAGGTGATCACAGTGGGTTTTAGGGGTTCTGGCACCTTGGCTAACTGCATGTCATCATCAGAGAGGTCAGACAGAAGCTCATCCCTGACTGGAAATGTATCCTGCATTCAAAAGGGATGCAAATGTATATTCATTAAAGAAGCAGAACAGAAAAGTTTTAATTGACTTTTCATCTATTTAATTTCTGTTGCAGATTTTGCTTTCCAGATCTGTGACCTGAACTGGCCTCATAGTGGAAGTATCTTTGTTTACCTTTGCAATTTTAGGTGTGTCTGATGCTTCAGAGTCAAAGTCAGGGTCATCCATCACAAACGAGAGCATTTGCTGAGCCACAGGAGCCTCAGGGTCTGTGTCAGAGTCCTCCACTTTGGGCGTGCTTCCCTTCTTCTTGCCTTGGTGTCGGGCTGGCTGCTCTGCTGCGGGAGTTAAAGTGAGGGAGATGGGTGGTGTGGTTTGGCCCTGAGGATCCGGAGCTTTAGATGTCACCTTTGGTTTTGTGATCATAGGCCTGATTCAAGGAACACGTAAACAAACCAAACAAAAAACATATTAGATCACAATGGGGGATGGGGGGGGGATAGGCTGCATATCTACACTGATATGTACTGGGTCATGCGTTAGGAATGCCATATCGTTTACACATCAACCTACAGTGACACCTCAAAACTCAAAGTGAAGAAGTGATGCAGCAGGATAATCCATTTTGTCAAAATTTCATTGCAAAAATGGTACTCAGTAGTTTGTATGGCTGTATGTTTGTATGTGCTTGTATGTATGTGTGACAACGTCGGGGCATGCTCCTAATGAGACGACAGCTGATGTCTCAGGACCCACTGCACCAGTGTAGGGCCCGGGAATTTTAACGTGATACCTAGCGTCACTCAGGGTGCTGCTGCCTAGCCCTATAGCGGTCTGTGTGTCCCTCCATTGATATGTCCCCCTCTGACACTACCAAACCAGTCAAGATGTTACAGACCAAATAATGTTCTCCATGGCTTCTTCAGACTGTTTCACATCTGTCACATGTGCTCAGGGTGAACCTGCTCTTGTCTCTGAAAAACACAGGGTGCTAGTGGTGCCAATTCTGGTATTCTATGGCAAATGCCAATCGAGCTACATGGTGTTGGGCAGTGAACACAGGACCCTACTAAAGGATGTTGAGCCCTCAGGCCACCCTCATGAAGTCTGTTTCTGATGATTTGTTCAAAGACACTGGCATCAGTGGCCTGTTGGAGGTCATTTTGTAGCTCTGGCAGAGCTCACCCTGTTCCTTCTGGGACAAAAGAGCAAATACTAGACCTGCCGATGGGTGAAGGACCTTTTGTGACTCTGTCCAGCTCTCACAGAGTAACTGTCTGTCTCCTGTATTCTCCGCCATGTTCCTGAAACTGTGCTGGAAGGCACAGCAAACCTTATGGCAAGTGTACGTATTGATGTGCCATTCCGGAGGAGTTGGACTACCAGTGCAACCTATGTGGGGTCCTGATATAACCTCATGCTACCAGTAGTGACACTGGCCCTAATCAAATGCATACAACTAGAGAAAAACAGTCAGAAAAGATCAGGAGGCAGAAAATGCCAGTGGCCTCCACCTGTAAAACTATTCCTGCTTTGTTGTTGCCCTTCTAGGTCACCTCTTGTTAAGTGAACTGATTAACAACCTTCTGTGCTACTTAACTGACAAGATCAATATCCCAGAGGTTTCACTGACTTAATGCTAAACTCAGATTAAAAAGTGTTTCTTTAATTTTTTGAGCAGTATATCACTTGTGTCACTAATGAAATTTCTTGACTTACGCTTTGAGCTCAGGTTTACTTTCCAGGTCTTGATCCTGTGAGATTACAAGCGCTGTTGGTATTCCCTCCTCCTCGTCACTGCTCAGAGTGATATCTTTAATGGGGGGGAGGGCCTTAGAGTTGGAAAGGCTTGGCTCAGTATCATCAGGGTCAAGCTCATCCTGGAAACTGGACACCATGGGGTTTCCTCTATCCTCACCATCACTGGGTTGAAGCAAGAACACGAAAAGTTGGTTCAAAGAGGCTTGAAGAGGTGACTGAAAGCAGACACTTAGTGACTAACAATGTAGTAAAACGTTTAAAATTTTAATTCAACCTCTTCTAAATGTCGAATAAAGAAGGTAAAATGTAAAACATTGACAAACAGTATTTTCTAAAAGTAGAAACAGGCCAAGTCAGAAGTATTTATGAAAATTTTCACCTGTCACTGTCCACAGTGGGAACTGCTGCAGGTTGGGGCACCTTGGTCTTGGAGGGCAGGCTGTCCTCCAAGAAACTCTTGTCCAGTCTCTCATCTGGCACAAAATCATCCACACTCTGCACCTTAGCAGGACACACAGGTACAGGAGGCTCCTCTGAGGAAAACATTGAGACAATTTTTGACTGAGAGCAAAATGACTCAGAATAAAAATCTACGCTTTAAAGTTCAAAAGCTCCAAAGCAGAACCACTGTGTGTTTGCTTTTAGCTAATTATACAGAAACTGCAGGGAAAGACTGAAATCACATGACATTCTAACACCAGCCAGTCTTTTGATCCTTTTAAATGCTCCGCATTTCTCAACTCCCAAGTCTCAAACCTTGTGACTACTTACTATGGACCTGGCAGTTTCAGTTACGGTCAACAAATGTATTCTAAAGCTGGTCTGGATACTCTCAGTGCTCGGAGGACAAAGAAAACTCAAAGTGAACTCTTTATTCAGTAACTGATATAACAACCTCCATTGAATGTGTTCATTAGCTCACTACATTCTAGTTTATCAAGATTTGACGGATGTGACTGAACAGCTTTCTTAACCCTTAGATGATTCTTTAAAATCCTCACTCTTCTCGTCTTTGTTTGACTCTTTCTAAAGACAAAACAGTGGAGCTTCTCAAAAAGTGCTGTAAAAGTATTATATAGTAATATTTGTTCCACTTTAAATGACTCAGTCTTTTCAAACTACTTTGGTCTGAACTTTTAATATCCAATATTAATAATATTTAATGGATTTTAATGATTTGAAGGCCAGTATGTTTATATAGCTCCACCCATTTTTATAAAAAAACAAAACAAAAACAAAAAACCCAAAGAAGAACAACAATAATTTCCGATTATCGAAAATAATCAAATATTTTTTGAAATGTATTTCATCATTTCAAAAAATATTTGATTATTTTCGATAGGCCCTAAAATGAGACTCTGATTGGCAGCAACATTGTTTTTCATTATTTATTTATTTTTGCAGTGTCATAGTCACCTCTCTTCGCAACAAAAAAACCAAGAAACTGTTACACTCAATGCCCTGAGGACAAAAAAGTGGCAGCTTTGCAAAAACTGCTGCAAAAATATTATAAAGTAAGATTTTTTTTTTCCACTTTAAATGATGAAATCTTTCAAAAAAACATCATCCTGAAATATAAATATTAATCACGTTTTTTTGAATTTTAACCCCTCAAGAAGAGGGACTCCAGCTGAGGTGGAGCAGAAGCTGTAAATGGACAGACTGATCTTTGCATGTAAGCTTCCCACGTTGTGCTGCCAGCTGTTCTCTTCCTGTCCATGGAAAAGTCACACCGCCCTTACATTTGCTGATGAGAGGGGCTTGCAGCAGCACCCTGCAGATTTAAACTGATTAATTTTTTTGACCTGTAAACAGCATCCAAAAATGAGCATCTCTATATACGGCTGCAGTTCCTCTGTGTCTACACAAGCCACTGAGTGATTCATATGCAGGTTTGTCATGGCCACAATTTGCTTCAACCAGCAGCAGTGCATGGTCATGTCATGGTGTGTATGTCCTGGGATCAAACCTCTGGTTGCTACTCATCATTTACTGTTATGGAATTAGTTTATAATTGAGGGTGTTGGTCCACTTAACCTGAGTGCAAAATTGCAGTGTTGGACTGTAATGCTACGTGGACGAATGTGCTAATGGCTGTGAATAGACAGAAATATTGTCACAGATGGCTGGTGTAGAGACTACATGGAGCACTCTGCTGTGTGAGTGCTGTGTAGGACTGACCTGGTGCTGAGGCAGAAGCCTCGGTGGCTGGGGATGAGCCAAACCAGCGGGAGATGAAGCTGCGTTTCTGTGGGCCCGACGCTCCTGCAGCTGGTGACTGAAGGTGTTCGGGTGACTGGGCCAATGATTTTACCTCAGCAGCAGGTGAAGCTGCCCCGCCAGCTGCTGCTGTGGGAGGCGGAGGAGAGGTTGTGGACACAGATGGTGACTGTGGGAGTGGCTGGGAAGGGATTGGTGGCTGTGGAGTGCTGGGACTGGAGCTGCCAGTGGAGGCCCCACTGGGAGGGACAATGGGGGACTGAGAGCCTGATGAGGGACTCTGACCGTTGGCTGGACCAGGGGAACCATAGCCCTTACTGCGAGACTCCAAGTTCTCCAGGAAACTGCAGATATCACAACAGGACTTTTAAGAGACTTTGAATAACATCTGAGGCCATTTATACAGTTTAGAAACTAGAGTAAGGAAAAACTCAGTAGAAGGAAATGTACACAGATGTGTAGTTCATTTTACAAATCTGTTAAATTCAACTGCTAGAAGATGGAGGTAGTAGTGTGCACCCAGCTCACTAGTGTAAGCCCAACAGTGGACATGAGAGAAACTAATGCATAAAAAGTGAGGACACATAATATTTTACATAGAGTGGGGGAGAATTTTGGGAAATAAAGCTTTTGATCTAGTCCCTCTAGTGGCTCAGTAACAGCAGTACACAGGCTGTCAGAGAGAATAAAGATGAGCATACATCTCATAGTTCTGATCTTCAGTCTCCTGCTGGACACAGAGCTCCTCCAGTGTCGCATCCATGTCCAACTGGTTGGTCTCCAGCTGCCTCAGGAGGGTCTCCCTCTGCACACAAACACATGGCATGATTACCTGGGCACGCGCTGAGATGAAATAGGCATACTTTGTCTTCCATTACAATAAATAAATCATAATAAAAAATTATAGCGTTTGAAAACCTGATATTATAAATAAAAATAAATCAAATATTCAGCACATAAAACAAAACAAAAACCTGTAGCTGAAGGAATGGGATGTTGAAAAACTTGTGCAGATATTTCAAGCCAAAGCCATTCTTCATAGAGGACTCGGCATAGTGGATGTAAGATGATCCCATAGGTCTGTAAAAGGAAAGCATTAGTAGTAAACTCAAGTTGCTGAACATATACCCTATATTTATATGCCTCATTGATGTCCAAGTGTTATTTAATAAAAAAACAAAACAAAAACGGAAAGAGGTGTAGCTGCATTTACCACCTCAAGGGCACAAAAACATCAGACACATCATCAGCTTGTTAAGTTATTAAACTGACAGTGGATAACACCTTCCCTTTGACACTAGACAGCTTTCAGTGTTAAAATATCCATTTGTATTAGACTGGTTAGTTACCAACCAGCCAAATAAATATAAGTGACGTTCCCCAGGGTAGCTGTGGCTACAACCGTAGCTTGCCTCCACCAGTGTGTGTGAATGTGAGAGTGAATGAATAGTGGCATTGTAAAGCGCTTTGGGTGCCTTGAAAAGCGCTATATAAATCCAATCCATCATCATCATCATCACTTTTGAACACTATTATGCAAGCTATCTTCTATCCACAGTCTACTGTTCAGCGTAGTTTCTACCGCTTTTTTCACCGCAGAGTCTATATAAAAATTGTAGGTAACAATCTTCAAGTCCCTCACTGGTTAGTGATATTCTGTTTTGATGCTACAAGTTTAGCGTTTTTGCTGTGACCATCTCAGCTTTCTGAAACTAATGCCACATTGATGTGCTCAATGGATAACAAACTGTAAATGAAAACATTTTGTATTATGAGCACATACAGTTTTATCCTCCCTTTTGACTTTGGGGAACCATCATTTACAAAACAATCATATTGTATTTATTAAGAATAAAATCTAGGAAGGAAAGTTTACTGAAGTCAAAGATCAAGGGAGCTGAAAATTGTTTTTCCAGAGACTTTTATAGAATCAGACATCTTTTCTGTTAGAGAGAATTCAGGTTTAAGGCACTTCCACACTGGCAGGTAGCAGGAGTTTCAGTTTAAAATCCCCAGGAAGTACCATGTTTTCACAGATTATTTTATTTGCAGAATGTTTTGTGCAAATATGTTTTATATGTGCCAGATGCTAAGCTGTACCTTACGTCTCTGATTGGAGTGGTGGCACTCATAGGGATCATTTTGTGGGGAAGAAGAGTCGGATGACCCACAAAATTACCATTTTTACACGACTGTGCATCGAGCCTGAAGCAGACAGCCCACTAGAGAAAGTTGATGGCCACTGTTGTGATACCTGTTATCTACTACTGGGGTTTTAAGTTTTGCAGAGCCAGTCCCTCTGGTGAGGTGTAAGCTCAAATTTGGGTAAGAAAACAAAATTAACAAAAAAAAAAGCTTCTTCCTGTTTTGGTTGTGTCACTGAGCCCTCAGTTCCCTGGATGTCTGGTTTGTGACTGCAGACACAGACACAGTGAAAGAACACTAATCTAGTTGTTGATTATGTAAATATTTTTTAAAGTTAAACCCAAAAACTGAAGTCCTTAGAGAATTATATTATTCCCGGTTCTGTTTTCTTCCAACACTTCCTGTTTATTCCTGGTACTGTTTCCTGTATTTCTGCTATCTGTGACTGAACACAGTGACATATGGTGCAGTATTCTGAGTCCCTATAGGCAGGTCCTGCAACTTGGCACCATCCTGGTAATGTGCTCATGCAGTTGTTGTGGAAAAACAAGACAGTCCCTGTATAAATACAGAGGTACACGGACAAACGTTGGTGAACTTTTGGCTTAAAAATACGATTTTTTTTACTTCTATGTGTGTGCAAGGTTTGATGACATTATGGCTTTATTAACAGCTCAGAGTACAGACACAAAAAAAGGTCTGTGTAGCTCATCCCAGAGTATTGACCAAATGCGATGCTCATTGAAATGTTCAAATTTGAAAACATTTTCCACAGCTATATCAGGTAAGAAGATTTACTTTTTACCGAGAAAACAACTTTTATTATTATCACACTTTTTATTTCAACTGTATACATTCAATTATTATCTATATCTACCTGTTCAATCCAGCAATTAGGTCCCTTATATCATCAGGGAGGATGACACGATGCTCGCCCATGTCCCTGTAGTTTCCCAACACACACACCGGCACATGGGTGGGTACTTTGGGCAGCTCCCTCAGGATGTAATTAAAAGTCCTGCAATTGATAGGATCACAACATTTATCTGGGAGTATCAATATTCACTGGAAACTGACTATTCTTCAAATATCGCTTCCCACTCTGCTTACAAATGACGGTACACAGTTTTCTAAAAAACTTGTGTTTTCCTGTTTTTATGACTGGTAACCCTGAAGTTCAGTATTTGGCTTCAAAATGTAGAGAATTAAGCAGGGACTCAAAACAGTATTGTATAAATGTTTTAAAACATAGACACATTTTTGGATTTTTGTGTAATTTAATGACATTCTGAAGAGTCAGAAAATAATGACCTACCCACAGAGGTGTCTGTGAAAATTATACACCTGCAAGGGCATATTTTCTATTCAATTTAATTTTATTTATACAGTGGCAAATCACAACAACAGTTGCCTCAAGGCGCTTAATAGTGTAAGGTACACCCTGCAATAATACATAAAGAGAAAAACCCATCAATCAAATGAAACCCTATGAGCGACAGTGGGAAGGAAAAACTCCCTTTTTAACAGGAAGAAACCTCCAGCAGAACCAGACTCAGGGAGGGGCGGCCATCTGCTGCAACCGGTTGGGGAGTCACACCATGACAGGAACACTAATATGGATCCTAGACAGCTAGCTTGTCTTGCCCAACCAAGACTGGCTTTACAGTCAGAAAGTTAGTCTGAGCCTAAGCCTCTTCCAGAGGACCCTTTGTCCCCAACCGCCACCTTCACCTAAAACGGTTTACTTATTTCCTTTACATCTGAATTTGAAGTATATTTGAAATGTGAGTAAATCCCCTTGTTAAAGATCATTAAATGCATGATGAAAAACAGTATTTAATAATGGAGATTAGACTACAGCATTAACCAAAGTAAACGTGATTATAATTTTTGCTACACTTAAGCATACCTAACATTTACTGTGCTTAGTCACTGTAGCACCTAGAACAACAGTGAGGCTCACTCATGTGTTTTTAATTGTGGCTGAATAACAAAAGAGCTCTACAGCACAGAGACATAAGATACACCAGATCCTACTTTACATGAAACCCCACTGAAAAACCTAGTTATATCATTTGCCATGCTAATATATACATAAAAAAAATCTTCTCCCTTGGGATGCCCAAAATAGCAATAGTGGAATGTATTTTAAGGATTGTGCATCTAGAGCTGAACACAATTCAGCAGTGGAAGCTTCATAGCCACAGACAGACACAATGAAACTTTATCTGCTCATGCATATTAAAGAAATGGACTTGCCTGATGAGACAACAACACACATAAAGCTCTCTTACCACTGCTTGGTGATGTCAAACATCATGATCACTCCATTGCAGTTCTTGTACACATCCAGGAATTCTGCATCCAGGGCCACCTCATCTGACTATAACACAAACAAATTAATATTTAAGGACAATTGGAGGAAAATATTCTGCTGAGATCATATGCTTTTTTTCTTTTTTCCCCCTTTACAATTTCCTCCTTATAAGACATCTTTCTCTGATTAAAATCTGCAACCCACATACTAGAAGTGAGCCTTTCTTCCAAAACACATGACAGCCATGTGATAGTCACCTCTTGGGGCTCATTCTCCAGTTTCAAATTGTCACCGCGCCTTTTTCCTTTGCCTGAAAGAACAATTGGTCACAAATGGTAAGATCAGACAAGCTGACACACAGTGAAATCCTGATCTACAGTTTGGTTTTTGCTTCAAGTTAGTATAAAGGTATAGAGCAAGCAGAGCAGCAGCACAACTGCTTTTCTAACAGAAAAGCATCTCGCAGCCTACTTTGACCACACAGTGCCCTTTAAATACACGCTGCAGATGCTCACGCTCCAACTGGGTGCAGCAGTAGCAAAAAACAAAAAACAAATAAACAAAAAAATAAAAAGGAAAGGAAAGAAAACCCTCAAACAAAACAGCCAAACTCTGAGACATAGCTAGGCAGCAACCCTGAGCCATACTCTGACAATATTGACATTCAGATAAGAGTGGGGATAGGCAGGGCAAACCCACAGCACACAAGAGTTTAGTATCTACATAGTGTAGCAGCGCTCACCTACACCTTCAGGAAGAGGATATTTTTGGCCTGAGATGAGTGTAAGAGAGGTGCCCAAAAAAAAAAAAGACAACATCAACACTGAGGACAGAACAGACAAGCAACAAGCATCTCTATTGGATGTGTTGATATAATGCAAGAGGTCAGCCTCAGAGGAAATTTGACTGGCATGTGTGTCAACACTCACCTTTGTCCACCACGTCCCACACCTCTACCTTCACCACATCATCAGTAGCTGAGGCAAGCACAGAGGACACATTCATTATTCATGTTCTGAGACCACAGAGAGAAGAGTTCAAATCTATTGACTGTTAAATGACTAATGTGGATCTACTCGCGCTAAGTAATGTAGTGTCACTAGTATTGAAGCGCTGACACAAATACAGGACGCCTCCTCTAACAATCAGTTAGCTCAAACTACAGCTAAACTTTTTTTTTTTACCTTGATATGGTGCCACTGGAATAAATTATGAGGCACAAACAGCAGATGTCAAACCAAAACAGAAACATAACTAAAGCAGTGGTGACAATCAGGGCTGGGTGACATGAACCAAAAGAATCATCTCAGTATTTAAAAGCTCCTTTTGGCTGATTCACTAATCTCTCTCTCTCTTTTATTTATTTATATTTATATATATATATATATATATATATATATATATCTCTCAAAAACAACATGTGATGTGTCACAGCCACTTTTATTAAAACAGACATCTAATTTTATTGGTCCTAATTAAAGGTAGTTGGGCTGTCAGTCAGGACAGGAAGTGAATTGCAAAGGAAGTGAATTGCAGTTAGTTCCATATTAATTCAGTTTTGTGTAGTTCAGTGTGCTTGAAGAGGGTGGAAGTAATGTAAATTTCATCGTCAGACAGTAAGCACGAGGCTTTGTGCAGATGTTCACGTGCACACCAGTTTTTTTGTGAACATGCACTCATTTACAGAACTGTACTATAGAGTAGCAACTATCCAACCGTCAAGCAGACTTCGACCAAACTAGGAAAAAAGTCTGTGTGTACATGAACAACACAGTCTACTTCACCTAAAGGTGCAGTGGCAGAATAAGGGTATAAGTTGGTAACGCAACATTGGACTACATTGATATAAATTAAATGGCTAATTCTAAAACACTGTAATGATATATATATATATTTTTAAATGTATATATCACCCAGCCCTGGTGAGATGATCACATGTGGTCACAGCTATCTTGGCTTACTTTTGTAATTCCAATGGATGCTTGTAGCTTGGATCTCCTGAGTGGGTATATACTCCTCCACAAACTTCTTGCCCTGCAGTCGATGCCATAAAGTACTCTTTCCAGTGTTCCTGTCTCCCCGAATCACTATTTTCACTGGAGTAGGAGACATGATGGAGATGCCATAAAACTGAACAAACTAAGACAGAACATGTATTTAGCTGGCTGGATTACTTACTGTTATACTGGACCCCTTTGGCAAAGCGTCTCTGCAAGCTCTGGTTCATGGACTGCAGACCAGCAGGAATGTTCTTCTCCTTTAGCTGGCCAGGCTCAGAGCCCACCAGCTTCTTCAGCGCTGAGAACATCTTGACTGAGCTTCACCAGCTTCACTCTGCAGTAGAGAGGAACTCTGGCTGATGACTCCTTAATGACAACACAAGTAAAAGTGTAGCAGCGTGTCTTCACGGGCAAGGAAGTTAAGGATCTATGCTGAGATGCAAATGTGATGCCAAATCACTTCGTACCAACTTCAGTGGTTTACTGAATTTAGCGGTGCCTCTTTTAAAGTTGACCAGATGTTTTTCTTTGCCTGTCACAAGTAGAATTTACTACCATGTTGTTTTGAGCATCATCTAAGGGGAAAAAAAACAAACAAAACACAGAGACAGAGGTTGGGGATTAAAGACTCTTGTTTGGATGAAATTCTTCTGTTAACATGTAGGTGTGATGAAAAGGACAGGCTTGATATTTTTTGCAAAAAATGAAAATTATATCAAACTATGCTCAAGTGTTAGAACATGAGAAAAACCACAAATCCACTAGTTCCAGCTTCTTGTGCGAGTTTGTCACTCTTATGTGGAAATAAAATAAATGTATGCAATTTGTAAGTTATTCAACTTAAAAAAATTAAGATATGCTTTATTTATTCAAAAAGTTGGGAAATCTGTTGTGTCACAGCTGTAAACTAATTCTCAGTAAAATAAACACAATATAACAAGAAAACAACAACAGCACAGCTAGTATGAACGGCATTAGGCCACGACAGTCAAAAGACAGTTTATGTGGAAGTGCATTAAAGGTACAGTATGGAAAATCTCACTGACAAGACATCAGCAGATTGTATTCAACTAAAATATGTTTTCTTACCTGTCCCAATTCAAATTTGTCCTACATGGGCCACTGTAGCTGGGACAGATATGTTTTAGTCAGCCGAGATAGTAAAAGGAGACCGACACAAGTCTATGAGTAAGTAAGCTGCTTAGCCAGAATTAGTGAAACTTTCTTTGAAGCGGATCTAACAGTGTTGGCCTTGAACACTTATCGAACAACCTCTCATACGATGTGAGAATGTAATCAAACTTTTTATCAGAAGAAAGAGTAATTTTCAGTCATTCAAGCCTGGGATAAAGTTGGCTTATAATCAGCTTTGTGTTAGAGAAATTAAAAGAGCTAAATGCAACCTATATAAATGAAATTTACTTAAAAAACATAATTAAACATTAATAAATGGATATCTGTGGATGCAATACTCTTTTTTTTTTCTGCTAAATAACCTCAAAAAATGACTGACTGACTGACTACTTTTAAGGCTGCTTTCCAGAGCAAGAAGTCTGGAGTTTGACTCCTCCATCTGTTGTGTGGGTTCTCTCCAGGTACCCCGGCTTCCTTCCACAGTCCAAACGCATGCAGTTAGAGGAGTAAGGTTCACTGGCAATGCTAAATTGCCCATAGTTATCAATGTGAGTGCCTGTCTCAATATGTTAGCCCTGCGACAGACTGGCAACCTGTCCCAGGCATACCCTGCCTCTCACCTTATGGTAACGGGGATAGGCTCCAGCATCCCTGCAACCCTGATAAGGATAACCGGAAGAGAATGGATGAATGATGTTATCTGTTATCTATCATTATCTACATTTATACTGCCCAATAAATTAAATTTTTAAAAACAAAGAAACAGGAGGAAAAACCTTTTACCACGTTTTGACAACTTTGCTGTTGCGCACACGCTTGGAACACCACAAACACAACAATCGGATGATCCAAGCAGAGTTAGCTAGAGAGTTAACGAGATAAAAGTAGTTCTAAAACAACTGTCCGTCCATAGAAACGTCCTTTGGGGGTAAACTTTGAAAATACTTTCCTGATGAGTTTATGGTCTCAGTCACTCACACTCACAATTTCTGCTCACACCAAGTAAAAATTAAGTCCCTTTTGTAAATGTTAGTATTTTACTAAATATAGTTTTAGATTGCACTTTCACTTTTATCCATCCGTCTCCTGCCAGTTTCAAAACGCCAGGAAGACAATCACAAAGATACTCATCTGGGGTGATGTCATAGTAGCTTAGTTTATTAAAGCACAGCTTCAATTACAGCTGAAGATGACAGGGTAGAAAACATAAGAATTGTGCACTTGACTAAATATTCATTACTGTCAATCATTCCTGCCACAGAGACAGGACTGGTCAGAACTTAACAGTAAATCACAATCTATACTTTACCCCACATTAGAAGGTTAAGCTCGCTCTCTCTCTCTCTCTCTCTCTCTCTCTCACACACACACACTCCAAATTTTACTGTTAAATCATTTGATAAACGGCTGGCTTTGACGGGTCGGGGGAGGTAACCTCGACTATGTTACCAAAATGGCAAGAGACGGCACTGTTTCACACAAGTGTAATGGGAGCACATGAGAGGCACAAGCTGAAGCAAGACATAATGACGACGTTGTCAGAAGATTCTTCGCAGTAGGTTTAATGACAATGAATTAGAAACTGTCTCTAAAACAAATTTGACCAGCTGAAAAACAGAAGGCTTCAGAACACGTCTCCGTGTCCTGATGGCAGCTGTCACAGTGTCCCTACAAGAAATACATTATTCGCTATCAAGATCAGCTTTGTCTTCAGTTGACATTATTAGTACAAGCTCCGTGTCTGTTTGTATTAAAAAGTTATTTAAAAAGTATTAACTAGCTCAAATTCAAAGAGCCGAGCAATAATCAACCAATGGCTGCGAATTAATTCTGTTTTCAGGTTGAATTTCCCTTTCACCGTTATCCTGTTAGCATTAGCTGACTGTGCTGCTCGCTCAGCTAGAACAGTGAGCTTTGCTTAATATATCAAGCAATGTGTTTAAGCATTCTTAAATCAGAAAATTCGAAAGAGTATGTAAAGGTCAATTCGGATTTTAAAAAGAGATGAGGCAGCCCGGCTTGTTACCTAACGTTACACCAGCTAAAGGGTAACGTTATCCTTTGGCTTCTCTTTAGCTAGCAATCCAGGCAATATTAGCTTAGCTTTGCCACCTCTGCGCTGAGTGACACTACACGGCAGCACGTCAGGATGAGTTTTTCAGGTTAACGTCTGCTGCAAATACTCACGGGTATATATTAAGATAGGAGCGTGCAGTCCCAGCATCTTTTCCTCAAAACATCTGTCAGACCTCCATCCCGACAGAGATATAGAAGCGACATTCCTTTGCAAAGAAAACAGCTACCGCCGACCAATCATCAAGTAGCACGCAAAACATGTGAATATCCGGTTTCAAAATAAAGCTCAAGCTTAGCGATACCGAGACATTATTTAAGCTTATGCTCCAAGTAGCTTACTCATGGATATTTTTACTTAAATTTCAATAGGTCTGAGTAGGTTTCCAACAATACAGAAGAAGTTGTGCCTCGAAAATGTTTTCTGCATATTTATTTGTTTGTGTTTGCAGATTGCCACATATTGTGAAACCAAAACAATCTGGATTGTATTGGGCTGCCTCATCTCTGAATGTGAAATCTCCTGCTTACTGACTGACAACTTGTGACTCATAAATTATTATCCAGTGAGCACAGGGATGATTCTCGTTTTTCCCTTGAACTCCAATCAATAGTAATCAGTAATCAATTTGGGCTCATGTTTTATTCAGCATTACCTGAAACTAGTGACTAAGCCCATAAAGTCATCAGTAAACTGTTTACTGACATCACAGATGGTTATTTTCCCATAGACTTCTATAGAACTAAAAGTCTTACTGCAACCAAAGGAGTTGCCCCCTACTTACCATGAAAGAGAATGCAGCTTTAATCTTTTATACTGTTTATGTCAGGTAACTGTAACTACTAAAATCCATGAGTTTGGTGTTGGTCATTTATGAGCTAATAAATCAATTTACAGATACTAATACTAATATACAAATTTACCAGCAAGCATAGCCCTCCGAGTTTGGTTGAAATACAATTACGGTAACCAAACTAAAGAATATTTTATGAAGTTAGTTATTTTATGAAGTCTGGGCAATAGTTCTCTTGAATTGTGTATACTAATGAGAATTAACACATAATACCTGGTAAGTCTCATGATTTTGCTATTTTCCACGTGGATGTGCACAGTTTCAGACAGCTTTAGGGTAGAACAAGATCCATTTTCTTTACTTTCTCACATTACAACCGATTGCCGATTTTCGCTTTTATTTTCAAGACGCAACTATAGTACTTCCGAGATTAAGTGCAGTGAGCTTGCCGCGGCTGTTGTGGTCCAATCTAGACCGTCCAATTCATCCCAGCCAGCTTCCTGATGATACCCCGCACGGATGCTCTTCTTTTGGACTTGCGGCACCTAGCGGCAGACGTAGCAACTTACAGTAAAGCGCAGCATCCTCAGCTGTCACTTTTATCACATGAAAACGCCTGGACGTGTTTGTCAGTGCAGATGAGGAGTTAGATGTCGTCATTTGTTCATAAACAAAGCAGGTATACACGCTTTAATAAATTGCTAAAGAGCAATGATTCGTTGCTTGCGGGTATTTTTACACTCATATTCAGCTGTGTTTGCTATCTTGAACACACCCCGCTGAGTACCCCGATATTGTTCAAGGGGAATAATGGCTGCACAGGAGCCGTCTCCACCATCTTCCCTGGAAGGTAACAAACCGGGCTTCCCAAAGAAAATTTTGGCTAACAACCTGGAGGATAAGCATTTGTGCAACTCGTGTCAGAAAATTCTGAGAAGGCCCCTGCAAGCCCAATGCGGTCACCGCTTTTGTTCGTTCTGTTTCAACAAAATTGTGAGGTGAGTAGTCCTGGATGCTAGTGAGCTAGCTAGATATATGTAGCCCAAAATAAGCATTCAGATCCCGTCACCAGCCTTGGTTCAAATATCTCTCCATGTAACATTTATTGACACGTGTAACGCTGTATGCCTGTATAAAGAGAGTTGAATTACAAACAAAATACAGCTAAACTGAACCTACAGGTGATAAATGAATAGCGTCCTTATCTAAATAATATCTCAACGTGTCTATGTGCGATAGACTGGCTAGGTGTCCTCGTAGTCTCGTCCTGCTAACCTCTGCTGGGGTCGGCAGGACACAGGAGCCAGCCAGGGGTGTGCATTTCGAGAAGCTGAACCTGACAGCGCTTTAAGTACTGTCAGGTCGGTGTTGTGCCGAATTCACTTGAAGGTCTGGCACCTCTCAGTGTCTTTAAAATGTATTATCTCCCTGCGTCTGTTGTCTAGCTAGTGTGCCAAAATAAAGTTGCCAGTTTTTTCAATGTAAAATTCGGGCGACCTAACGACTGAGGCTTTAAGAAGGACCAGCTGTTCATAGATTTATATATGTTTAATATTTCTTACTAGTTTTGTTTTATATGTTTTATATATTCAAATGCAGTAATAAGAAGGAGTGCATTTTTAAATGTATATATTTCTGTATTTATAGTGGTACAGAAACGAAAACACAGGGTTAAAGCACCGTGAGTGGACCTTTGTAGTGACTCACCTGTTTTCTTCTCTCACACTGCGCAGGTGTGTGACACGAGAGCAATTTCAGTTTCACTTATGTTTTAGATTACTTGTTTCTCAAGAATGAATCAGTTATTTAACTTCACAGATCCTAAGGTGTTAGACATCCATCTGTGCCCTACACTCACTTCTGACTTTTACTAATTATTGTGTGTAATCTAATCTAAGATATAATGATTGTGCTCATTTTATTTACCTAGAGGGGGAGGTGGGACAATACCCCCCCCCAACACACACACACACACCCTAACTTTTTCACAAATGTTTGTCTTTCTTTGCATTTGTAGGTGTAAAAAATAAATAAAATAAAAATAAATAAAACTGGATTAATATACCTATGAAAGAAATTCAACACAAATCATGTTTGTGTGAGTGATTAAAGAGAAAATAGTCTTCTGAAAGTAAGAAGGCATCTATTCTGCTTATTTTCGAGCTCAATATTTTACTAATGTAGCTTTGCGGTATTTTAAATGGATCCTTATTTATGTTACTCCTGGGCCTTAATCCAGCCCCTCAATTCATCTGTAAAGCAATGTGTTGCATCTCCTCTCCATTTAAAACCACCTTTCTTCCTATTGGCTGCCCCTTCCAAACACAGAGTGGTTGTTTCCAATGCTGTGTACCTCACCACACCTCACTTCCTGATATTATACAGAGCCAACAAAAAAAAGTGTAACACAGGTGCTTTTCTTTTCTATTTACACATATTCTTATGGTACTATTTGATCATTTGACCATGTTTAACATGGGCATTCACCATTGTAAGAGTAAAATATACAATGTGCAGTACTAGACTGACTTGAAATAAACTGTCTGTGTAATAAATGCATGTCTGGATAGAAAAACACAATGGAAGACTATCATTGACTAGCCTCCCCAAAGCTTGGAACTCAGCATTATAGAAACACTCTTTTTAATCTTGACAGGCAGCAAAACGAATGGCAGCCAACATCCAAAGAAGAGCTTTAGAAAGCCCTTAAAGAAGCCTGGAGAACTAGTCCTGAAGGCTAGTTTGAAAAAACTACAAGAAAGCTTCCCTAAGAGAGTTTAGGCTGTTTTTAATAAAAGTTTACAATTGGGTTTGACCAAATATTAGAGAATTCAGAATAGGTGCCTTTTAAAATATCACATTTCTGTATTTTTCCCCTTTATAAATGACCTTGAAATTTTCAATTATCTGTTATTTTCAGATAAATATAGTGCTCTAATCTGAAAAATGTAGGCCTTATTGGATTTTCACCCTCTTCCAGCTCTTAGTTGTTTTTCAACCTATAGTTGTTGTATTGTGCCATCATACTTGAAGACCATGACATGTATTTTGAGTGTTCAGACAAAGTTGAGTTAAGGTCATATGTTATACTTACTGAGGCCAGAGTATCTGCTGTGCATTGTATGCCAAATGTTCAATGGTAGTTTGACATTGCTACAGTGTTTATTATTTATGTGTTTTTTTTCTCTTTGGAAGTTGTGGACCACAGAAATGCAGTGCATGCATCAAAGAAGACCTGTTTGAGGAACCCACCTCGATCCTTAAGCAAGGTGGTGTAAGTACATTTTCTTACAGTTCCACTTTATTAGCATTTTTAGCAGTTTTCTTAATAGAGTTTGGCCTGGTTTTGGAATTTTTATAAAGCACTGTAATGTCATAGTCATTGTTTCTGTTCAAATCTAATGGCCTGCAGTTTAGATCCAACACAACAGAAACTTTATGACTGCTCTATAGGTCTTAGCAGTAACAACAATAGATGGAACAGCTATAGCCATTTTATCCTCCGACCATATGTCCTGAATCTCCCTGAAAAATGAAATTGGTGCATCCTGGCTTAATCGGAGCTGAAGATGCAAACCAAACAACACTGACAACAACCTCCTTTTTTTCCCACCCAGGCTTTCCCTGACAATGCAGCCCGCAGAGAAGTGGAGGCCTTGGCAGCTGTCTGTCCCAATGAAGGATGCACATGGACTGGAACTGTCAAAGAATTTGAGGTGATTTGCTCTTTATATTGGTCAATAAGAGGACAACAGTTCAGTATGTCAACCCCCTGCCCTCAGAGGAAATTTGGGAAGCGACAACATTGAACTAGTGTCCTTTGTTACTGTGGAATAACCAGTTTTGCGGTTATTTGATGGGCTCGTCCAGGATCTCTCCCCTACACAAACAAGAGAGAAGCAGATCCAGTGATAATAGAACCACGAGGCCAAAGTGACAACATGCAGCTACAGCCAAGGGTGGCTTAGTTAGTGGATGTGGAAGCAGGGAGCTCAAGTGTGAAAATAAACTCTGCTGCAACAGGGACCCATACTGCTGAACAGGGAGAGATAGTTGATGTTGAATGATGTGACATGTGATGATATTAAGACCCGTCCCTCGGTTGGCTTACCAATAGTGCATCAGATGATGTTATTTCTCAAGTCATTCATACCCAGTACCAGCCAATCAACTGTGATTCCAGAACACACACCGCATTCATACCCTCATTTAATCAGCACAGCTATGCATCCGCATGCCCACTCCAATACACATGCTCATACAACCCAACAGTCAGTAGAAGACTTGAGAAGATTATATGAAGAGCTGGGTGAGAGGCTCAGATGATGTGAGGCAGCCTCCAACCCACTGATCACTACCTTAAGCCAACTGTAGTGGCGGCACTCCGTCTCTATTTCACTCTTCTGTACCACCTTTAGGAGTCAGTCCGGCAACATGCATTTGAAATGCGAG